GCCTGGGCGTATGACAGCTGCCGGTAGGTGCCTCGTTTGCGCCGGTAGCCGATAACTCGCAGAAGCAGACGGTGGTGTGTCGTCTGCAGCAGCCGGTAGTGGTCGCGGCGTGGGGACCATGTCATGCAGCCGTATAGCAGTGCCGCCACTGCCTCCGCCTGGAGTAGGCGGGCCTTGAGGCGAAACGGTGCTCCCGGTCGGTCGAAGAGCTCCGTGGCGTATCGCCTAATGCACGCCCACGCTGCTTTGCTCCTGTGGTTGATCTCTCGGGTGAGGTCGCCCTGCTCGTTGATGAGGCCGCCCAGGTATCGGAACTCGGTCGTCTGTGCGTACCTTTGCCCCGCTGCTTCGATGGTCAGCGGCGGCGGTGGCGTCGGCGGCGGTCGCTGTTTCTCCTTCACCCGCATCACCAATGTCTCCGTCTTCCTCTCCGACACCGTCAGCCCGAACTCCCGGAACACCGACACGATAGTGGTCATCATCCTCGCCAGGCCGTCGGTGGACTTCGACACAATGCCGGCATCGTCGGCATATAGCATCCCCCACACCGCCCTCCGAGTGAGTAGCCACATAATATCAAAACATCAAGGAACGTTTTGTGGGAATGTTCTTCGTGAATGGTGCATTACCCCGAGTTAGTGTGTTTCTTGTGGATAGTGCATCAGTCAGTGGATTCATGGTACGTTGTGAAGTACGTTAGCCCCTGTCTCTTGAGTCTTTGTGTTCCGATATCATTGTGTTCTGCTTTTGTGCGTTGGTCGAGCGACACGGGTGGTGGCTGCGGTGCTGCGGTGCGGTGGTGCTCCCCACCCTTGCTCACTTCACCTTGTGACCTGTTGTCCTGGTCCAAGGTCTCAACAATAAAACATGTTTTCCCCAGAAGCCACGATTTTACCAACACGCAATAGCGAGACCAGTCGACTGCTGCTTGTCCCCTTGGACTGTACGTCAAGACTAAACGGAGGAAGATTGATCACCTTGCTTGGTGATGTGTGGGCCTGCTGGGGAACATGTGGATGACCCGTCCCCGGGTGATTCGCAGGATGTTATTGGTGGTGAGAGATTGGATTCGATTGAGACACAGTTG